CATTCGTATCTTTTATACATTTCCTAATTGTACAAGAATTTTGTGTAACTTTCCCATTCTAATGCCTGTATAATATTTGTATCTATAGCAGAATGTTATTATAATTTCCACGTCGTTTGCCAATTGCTCAATTCTACTTTTATCCTGGCAACTAAGTTGAACATAATAGTGTCTGCACCTTGTGCTCACACTATAATTTACGCGTGCACTTCGCAGCTATACTAATGGCACCACCTATTGTCAACTACTTATCGCACTTAATTGTCCTAAAATGTTTATTAATTAGTGTTTAGTAATATCGTGCGATGTCAATGATATCTTTACTGTCATGTATCCGCATATGATAATTACTATCCGCTACATTTGTCATTAACTGTATAGCAGATCTCTCTCAATCACCCTAAAAGTTCATCACAATTATTGTACTATCATTGTACACTATTTGCAGTCAACCGCTATTTTACAATTATATCAGCTTTCATGGTCTGTTACTATCATCATATTTGCATTTCATATCATGGTACTCCGCTATTGCTACACTAACGCACTGCCTATGACATTGAGTGTGCATATATACCTATGTATGTAGCAAGTGTAAACGTTATTATACACGATTACACGTAATGTGCTACTTATCATACTTGTCCGAAAATGTTTATAAATTAAAGTTAATTTCGCGTAATGTTCATGATAATTTGATATTCATGCTATCGTACATGTCCGCATATACCGATTAATATCCGCATCACTAGGCAGTAGGTACTCTGTTGTATTTGTCGTTATCACGATCGTAGGCCTACCATCGGTATTAACCGTTACTTTATAATTACATATACATTTATGTTCGATCATTTGTGTGGAACTTTCGTGGTGATGATAATTACATGCCTTCTATAGTTATGACTTATAATGCAGTTGTTTTAGAATGTTGTACTGGTTTTGTTAATTCAGCATTCGTATCTTTTGTACGTTTCCTGATTGTGTAAGAATCTTGTGTAATCTTCGCATTCTAATGTCTTTATACTATTTGTACATGTGCGGTATAGTATTTGTGTCGGAATGTTATCCTATCTGTAGCAGAATGTTATTATAGAGCAAATGTAAACTTTTTTACGTGCAAACTGCTTATCACACTTATATCCTAAAATGTTATATCCTAAATTATTATCCTAAAATGTTTATTAATTAGTGTTCATTAATATCATGCGATGGTTATGATATTTCTGCTGTCATGTGCCCGCATATAAAAATTACTATCCGGGGGCCTATTCCGCTACATTTGTCATTAACTGTATAGCAAAAATCTCTCAATCACCCCAAAAGTTAATCACAATTGTACCCTATTTGCAGT